ACAAGGTGTACACTAACATTTGACACTGACTGTATATATACATATATGCACATACACACCTATTATGTACTATCATCACTATGATTCATACCATCCTTCATAAAAAAAAAAATAAATTGCCTTTTTTTTGGAGTTCGATTAATTTTTGTTAACTTTGTGCAAGCTTTGAAACTTTTATTTACATATGTGGTGAAGGTTAAAAATAAATAAAAATAAAAACATAATAAAACATAAATTGTGAACAAAATAATTTTTAACTTTGCTACTATTTCATATCCCGCAGCAGCACATACATACATACATACATATGTATTTAGGTTCTAAAAAGGTATTTTGTGGCGGTATTTGGAAACAAAAAATTATTGATAGGGAGTAACGGCCTGGCAATCTATTAATCGTTGACTGGTGTCCGCTAAACACAAATGATTCATTCACATCAACAAAGTTCAACAAAGCAATTTTATTTTTTATTTCATAAAATAACGATTTACATTTTACAAATAACTTCTTATTATTTTAACCCTAGCCATTATCTCTAGCGATAAAACCCGCTTTTGCTACATTTAATTTCGAATGGCAAATTAATGAAATGCTTTTTTCTTATCAAACCATGCTGATACTTAGAATTGGTAATCAGTAATTTTTTCGGGTATCAAATGCAAATGTTTTTATGTACACTGAAAGATTGACATTTCTAGCTGATAAAGCTATGCTTTCGAAGTTTTAATAGGCCCTTTATTATAGAAATGTACACAAAATAATCGAACTACAAGCAGTCGGCAATAGCAGATAGCCGAATAATTAAAAAATAACAGCCAGGCAGGTTCTGCGAGTGAATTTCAACTTCTGCCAATTTGAATTCAGAGCGGCTTTGATTGAAATTCACTCGGAAGTGAATTGCAGAACCTGCTACAAAAAAAAATATCACGTAATGGACCCGAAGAACATAATATAATAGGGGTATTCTCACAGTCTTGCAAAGCCCTTGCACGGTGCACGGATTGCACTGTTTCCAAAGCTGTCCCATAGGAAAACAGGTTTTTACCGTGCAATCCGTGCTCCATACGAGGGCTTAGCAAGACTCCGAGAATACCACTAAGTACATAATTACATAAATTCAAAGCTATTAAATATATGAATGTATGTGCATATGCATATGTATTATAGATTTTGCGAAAAAAAATTGTTACTGTTAATTTTCCACAAATTTTACTTTAATTTTTATAATTACTTTTAAATTTTAACTTTTATTTGGGTTTAATAGCGGAAAACACTTTGATAGAAAAGCGCAAGTAATTAAAAAAAATACTTTTTTCGCAAAATCTATAAAGGATCCTTTTATTTAAAAAAAAAAACCTGTGCGACAGTTATTCAGAGCCGCGCTGTACATAGAGATAAGAAAAACTGCATATTTGAGTAGTGAGTGAATAAGCAGTCTTTAAATAAAAGCATTATTTACCTAAAATTTTCTTGAATGTGCTATACGGAAAAACAACACTTCAAGCATTTAGCTAGAACATTCTTTCCGAATGTCTTGCTAGCGACATATCTTTAATTTCATAATCTGTGACAACATGCCGCTCCTCAAAAACAAACACAATGACCTCAACCAAGCGGACAGTGAGGCCCGGCATTTAGACGACGACAACGCGCATCAACAGACGAGAACCAACCTCAAGAGGGCTCCAGTACACACAAACACCCAGATATTGGAAAAGCTGCGTCATGCAAAATGTCCAACTACATGCTTCGTTGCTATTGTTGCAGTTGTCTTAACTGCCTCCTCAACCTACTTTCTATGCGAACTAGTCATTTTTTCCAACAATCGACAGACACCCCACTTTGAGCTGTGCTGTTTGCGTTTTGGAGTGCCGGGTTCTTTTAACTATGGATGGAATTGTTTTCAAACATGCACATAGTATCTGGCATACATATGTGCATATAGATGTGATATACTTATATATGTCTGTTGACTTACCTGCTTTGGTCTTCAAGTCATGTCCATTGTTCAAATCAAAATCCATTTCCATGTCGGTGTCGAACCCAAAGCTGCGGTACCCTTTGGCACTCAATGCATCTGCATAGTTTTGCATAGTCGCTTTCTTTGTTGTTGTCGCTTCCAGTTTTCACTTTTAAATTACTGATATATGAATGTATATATAGGTATAATTTGTGATTCCTCAATTCTGATTAAACAGAAAATATTTGCACTTTGAAGATTTATTTTTTTATCTCACTTTGAAAAACTTTATTATAAGCTTGTGTCGCTTTCACGAATGTGCGTCTCGTTTTTTACCTGTGTCCGAATGCACTTTTATGCTGGAATTTAATGCGAAACTTTTTTCTTGCTTCTTGGCTTTGGCTTTAGCTCGAATTAACTTTATTTATTAAAATTTGTGCATGTGAATTCACTATGTATTTTTTAAATTAATTGAATTGTTGTTGCTACTTTGAAAAGCACTACGTAAACAAAAAATTTGTCCGCCTCTTTTCTATTGTGTGTTGCCGATTTCGCACCGATTTTGTAAATGAAGGTTGCCAACTTTTTACACGGATAACTGCACTGCACTACCATCCCCTGTTTGCACTGCTGTACCGACTTCTTTTCGATTTTTCCATTTTCCCTCATCCTAAACGGTTAGGGACCAAAAAGCACAGCGAAAATCGGTTTTGGACATTTTTCTAGGGTTACCGAGCCTTGATAAGATCATGTAGGGAATTAATTACCCTAAAATCATAGCCGTTTACAATTTTCAATCCACTTCTAAAATGGTTATTGTTAGATTCTTAATGAAGATTACAAACAAGTAGTTCGTTAGCTCTAGAAATACAACTGAAACGTATTGTTTAATGATTTCCATTGAGAAAGAAACAAAAAGTGTGTAAGCTTTGAGCAGAACTTTTAATATTTAACTAAAAAATATTTTCCTATGATATATTTGTGTATTTTTAGTATATGGACATTTTGGACTTCTATATACATATCTACCAAAGAACACATTCCTCTCCAATTCTGACGGTTTTCAAAATGTATTCAACAACTTTTATTGAGCTTGAGGCCGTTTTTTAATGAAAAACTATTATGGAAAGACAACAATAATTTGAAAAAATGGTAGAAGTAATAGCTATTTCGGAAATCACCATATTTCCTTATCAGACTTCTTTCAGTGGGATTCGATCCAACGACCCCAGTTGACTCAGCCAGTTGCCTACGCACTGTGCTAAGATCGCCTTAATTCAAAATGTTACAAATCTGGAAAGTAGGTAGGTATTTGTCTATTGCGTTTTCAACATTTTAAACAAAAATTTAAGAATGTATGTATGTATGTATATGTATAGTACATGTAATTATAAATGAGTATAAATTAGAGCGCAAGTAAAATATTTAACTAAAATCAGACATTTGAAAATTTCTTCCATATATGTACATATAAGTAACTAAATACAATACACGCATTGCAATGTACATATGGGCATAACACAAAAAAAAATTAATAAACTACTTAAACTAATCAATATGACTACGTAGAATGAAGCTAACACTTCAAGTTGTCGCATTCCGATCAAGCACGCTGATTTCGTTTTGTACAAAAATTTCAGTTGGAGCTGTTTGCATTGCACGCTTCCGCACTCTCCCAAGCGATTTTCCATAACATAGCGAAGGATCCGGCTTTTTTGTAAGATTCATAATGCGATTAAGTAAGAATTCTTTATCTTTCGCCTCCAGATATATCATTTCTTTTAGTAACTTTACCATCAGACGACGGGCACGCGACTTGGCGCGTAAATAGTAAGCCAGCGCACTCATTATGACTAGCATTATGCCCACAGCAGCAGGGCGTATGAGCAACGTAAGAAGGCGCCATAGTGATTGATTATGGCGCAACTGTAGTACACCGTCTATGAATATTTGAAACATATAACCGGATTCGCGAAACGGACCACACTGCGCGCTCATGGGTAGCCTATAAAGATAATGAAGGGGGAATTACTGGTTATTCTACTAGAATACGTAATGCTAATTGTTATTAGCAAACGTACTGCGTCATAATGTAGCCCAGTGTCAAAATGACGCCCAACAGAGAGACAAAAGTGAAGACCAGGTAAAGCGTTTGTGTTTGTGCTGAACGCCAGATATTGCAGGTTGGTTTACATAGATTCAATAAAAGCGTCTTATTGATGTAGAATTTTAGGAACATTTTGCAAACAATAATCGCCACAAGCAATGGTGCGAATAGTAACCCCAACCACAGCAATGTTTGATTATAGACGAGACCCAAACTTTTTTGAGATATATCAAATTCGGGACCACCGAGCCAAGGCCAGTAAATTCTAGGATTCGCGATAATAAAGATTGTAATAAATATCAATACTCATTAAATCAAAAACTTCACTCCCCTCACCTGGACAGGAAAGCTCGCGTAACACAAATGAGTGGTATAATAAATAAACAAATGAAAGTGTCCATCACAACAAAGCGATACAATTCTTGTCCAATATGAGTCTCCCAGCACTGAAAATTATAAGGCACGTAAAGGATAGGCTAATATATTCCGAAAAAGCGCAATACTCACTTGACTATATTCTTTTGTTAGAAGAAAATATACCAAAACGCTTATAATAACCGCCTCCAGCATGAAATTTCTCAACAAGGCTATATGCAGAGTACGACGGGGTGAACGATAATCTTCCATTCTGAAATACATAAATACTCATTTTAATTGAAGCCATAAAAGAACTTAATCTTAAATCGTTTTACCTCGAAATCCATGATAAAACGGATTGCATTAGCAGCATTGTTAGATTTAGTATACCAGCCGTTGAGAGGGTTCTCCAGCCAGTGTCAGTTGAATCGAGTCGCTAACGGTGATTAACAAATTACAATGGTACTTCAAAGCTGATTGCGCTTACTATTTACCGTCAACAATATCCACACAGCAACTCCAGCACAGCCTATTATAGCAGCCACCAGCACATGTGCTATAAGACGAGAGCAAATAAACCAAATACGCCACCAAATAGTTAGATGTTTCTTGGTTTCAGTTCTTTCATTAAGTACCGCTTTAAATTCGGTAAAAATTGCCATGTGTTTTAGCTCAGCCGCCTTTCTATTGGATATACCAAAATCCCAAAAACAAAAGGTTTTAGGTGCGAGCATACCTCTAGCACTGCCAGCGGCTTGAATAAAACTGATGCGGTACACACGTGCCATTCTAGTGAAAGAAAATGATATAGAATAGATTTCCAATAACTAATTACAGTATCTACTTAGTGGAAATGACGACAAAAATTAGCAGGTAAAGCACCAACATTGTCATAAAATACGCATGTGGTAAACTGTAACGATTTAGAGCAGGATGTAGACGAAATGTTGCATTGCTGTACCCACTGTAAAATATGAGCGAGTTTTGCAGATATCCCTAAAACAAAATGTGTGTTAATAGATGGAAAAAAATGTAAACCATTTTTTAACCAATCACTTACCTCACCAGTAAGTACATTCATGATAAGCCCACTTTCACCTTCCCCATCACCACCCGTATAGTTTCCAGTTAATACTGTTTCATTAAGATACATTTCCTCGGTTGCTATTATGTTATAGAGTACTTGCGGAAATGTGATGAACGTGAAAACGCATACCAATACCAACACATTCAGCATTAGAAGCCAACGCAGAAACTTGAAAAAGGAGCTGACATTGCAGCCAAAGTGACCCTCGATTGTCTTCAGTTCATCATACCAAATTTCTAAGTTATGATTTATAAACGTTACGAGCTTCCAGCTCCTAAATAGAAAAGCTATGAAAGCATTGGTGAATAAATGGCACCAGCTGCAGCGTTGCTTTTCGCTGGCATGTTGCTCAATGGTGATGGCCAACTTTTGTTTAAGCATGCGTTTCACACAAAGTGGCTGCGGCAGCGCACGAAGTGTTTCTCTGTAATTTTTTGTAATTGCGTATGTATTTATAATAAAATGATAAACTAATTAAAACAAAACATACAGTCTATGTTGATGACTTAGTGCTGTGTCTTGCATGAGGCCATCGTGCTGTTCGATTTCCTGTGCTAACAATTCGACTTCATTCTCCGCATCCAAGCCATTAGTAGAGAGCAATTTTCCATCCACTTCGAAAAATTTACGTGAAGGCATGCGATATATAGTTTTTTCTCGTATACTATGTTTATCTCGGTCGAAGCGTGCCAAAGTCTGAGACCACCGACGCACCTTCATATATATATAAACACATACATATAGCATATAATGGACGCCATTAAGAACATACATTTTTTATGAAATTACCATATTTGTTGGTGTTGCACCGCGACTGAAACTACCAGACAGCACCGCCAGCGGTGAAGTTGGTCGCAGGTGATGTCGATGCCCACCGAAATTATTTATCAACTCTATGGACTCATCGCCACACTGTTCATCTGTGCCATCGCGACTGCCGCCACAATCGCTTTTCTTACTTTTATTGTCATCGTTGGCAACTGATGCACTGGCGGCGAAGATTCTGAGTTGTTGACCATTTCCAATGCTAGTGAGCAGATTTTGGCTACCTTCGAGTTGCGTAAATAAATCGCTTTGTGATGATGCCGTCGACGTAGTAATCACCTCAATGCGATCGAAATCTTCGCTGCTGTCGGAAACATAGATCCGATTTTTCATCCCGTAGCCCGACATTCGCTTAAGTTTTTATTTTTATTTGAAATATTTAAATCATTTTAATTAACTAAAATTAATAAAATAAATTAAACTAAATCAAACAAAGGAAAAAATTTAAATCAGCTGAAAATAGAGCTGGGATACTATCGATAGTATTGATAGTTGAAAACTGTCGCCTCTATCGATAGTTTTTGAAGACTATCGATGTCGGTGTTTAGCAAAACTTCACTATATTCTCTTCAAATCTCTACTCAACTTCATCGCTCGAGGCAATTTCAAGTAAAAGTAAAATTTTAAATATTCATACATAACAGGAAATCACAATTTATTTAGGTTTATCACAACACAGTCACCGAGAAAAAAGAATACTAGAAACGATTTTAAGTAACTAAAAACTTGCACCGAATTATATGTAAATTGAAATTTTGATGAAACTTTGTTGTACTTTTTATTTTTTGCACAACATTTATAAAAAATTGAAAACCATTAAATAGACAAAAAACGAGATTAGTGAAAACTGATAAAAATGTCATTTTCACCAGCACTTTATTTGTTTTCTAATAATATGGTAAAAGGTTAATAATTTCCCTTGTCCCTGAGTTGTAAATTTTGTTTTTGTTGTACTAAAGATGTATTACTATAACCACTTCACTCCCTTGCACTTGAAAAAGGACAAACAAAATCTGAATATTATTTCTCCATATAAAGAATTCAGATTTTGCCTGTTTCTATTCAGATGTACTGATAAATTAATAAGTTTATTCTATAATTTAAAATTTCCTTTTGATTATGCAAATAAAAAAATATGTGTAATTTACAAAGTAATTTATTATTATTTTTTAATAAATTTTCAAAGAATTGAAGGTTTCAATCGAACACTGTTACATGATGTGGTTCACGACGATAGTACTATCGATACTATCGACGTTTTCAACTATCGTTTCGAAAACTATCGAGTGGCGATACTATCGATAGTATCCCATCTCTACTGAGAAACTTGGCACAAAAGATGTAACAGAAAAAATATAGAAAAACAAAACAAAATTCTGTTTTGATTCCGGCATTTCGTAAACATCATTTGTTCTATGAATTAATTGTTTTTTTTTTTTTGAGTTGCCAGTAGGAATTAGGTTTTAATTATGTAATTAACAATGAGCAAGTGTTGGAATGGGAGATTATTTATAATAAAACCATTGTGATATCTCTCGCCTTAACTGTAAAGCTTTATATTTTCAATGGGATTATATGTAATTATATTTGATTATGTACTAAGTTGAGAGGAAATAATTTCGCCGTGACAGCTTCATTGTTTATACACATCCTTTAAACATTTTTTGTAATTTTCGGTAGCCGCCTGTAACTTACATATAAGTAACGACTATTCTGGGATAGCCATTACTCAGTAAACAACAAGTTCGTTTACCCTCATATTATTAAAAACAGTATACTTATCCTCAAGGTCATCAGCGCTATTGGCTTAGGATCGTCCATTTGACGTCATGTGTTTTTGCTTTAAAGAAACATTTAGACGTATGTATATAGCTGCGAAAACTGAACGCACCGCCTTTATTAAATACCTATGAGTCAGTAAATAAAACTGAATACGAGTATTACTTACGACGTTCTAATATCAGTCGATTACCTACACGCATTCATGCAACGAGAAAAACAATGAAGCTAAGCGTTTTTAGACTGAGATATACGAAGAGAAAGCTTATGTTATTACCCTCTTGCAGTATCAGGATAAATGTAGCTTTATTGAAAGGAAAAGTAGTTTTCTGAAGACCTGCAGCTGCACATAAGCATTCGTACATTCGTTTTAATGAAAGCAAAAAAGCATGTTACTATATATAAAAACCTCAAAGACAAAAAGTAGGAATAATATTAGTCTACCAAATCAAGCAGCAAATTCTACTTTAAAAGTCTGTGACGCGGCCTTTACGCTCCCAATCACCATAGCGCGTTGGCTCTGGTCCAGCAGGTCCACCAATTTCACCCGTATGTGGATTGGTTGCATTAGGCCATGGCTTCAGCGGTTCTTTTTCTTGGAAAGGATGTTTCGAGAATTCATCTAATTTTCCAAGTGGTGTCTTTGCACGCAACTTTTTCTCGAATTCAACTACGCGTTCGCTTTTTTGTTTAGGCTCCTTGGACTCGGCGCCGACATTTGCGGTTGTGGAGAGCGCAGCGCAATTGCTTTGCAATATATTTGTTGCAGCTTGCTTCAATGGCGATTGGCACAATCGGCTAGTCTGTTTGCTAATGTTTATTAAATTACTCATCATTTATAAGCGATGGTAAAACTTAAACTTCAGTTTATTTTACTTTTTTCACAAAAAAAAATTGTGTAATGACAATTAACCAGATGGCATTTTATCAGCTGTTTTTGTTTCGCTTGGTTTGACATTCGCTACCTGTGGTGAAATTGATTACATGTAATTTCACCAAAAAAATATGAGGGCCGGACAAGGTTGCCAGGCAACCGTTCTTATCATAATTTTATAGTCCAGCAACTAAGTCGAAACTAACAAAGTTGCAACTTAAATTTAAGTACCAACTTAAAATTTACCTCTATTCATAGTCGCATTTCAGACTTCTACTAAGTAGTTTCGACTTAGTTTACGATATAGCAAAACGAGTGTGAAAATATATCGATTTTTCTTTACGATATTTTGGAAAAATTACATTTTTATTAAATAATGTCAAGTTTGATCAGCCGTTTATGCAATTTTTATTTTCATTGCATGATTATGCAAAAGAATAAGGCATCATTTTCTTGTTAATTGTGTGAAATAGCCAGAACAACCGCAGTGATGTGAAGTCGATGTTTATCGAAAGCATGCTGCGAAACATACAAATAGTAGATATCTAAATGTTATGCACAAATTTACTTTAAAAGAACTAGTGTGAAACTGACTTATTATTTGAGAATTTATCTAAATTATTCCGATTATAAAATTGTGATGTAGCTGTATTCGAATTGTAATACGCATTTAATTTCATCTTCCGATTAAAATGGATCGATCTTTGTAAATTTTAATGGGAGATTATTCAATATTATCAAAATCACCCTCTACCAACTTAATTTTTTACATATTTCGTCTGTTTTCTCTTAATTTGATAAAATACTTCTTCCTAGTTACGACTTATTTGCAGCTGCAGTCGAAACTAAATTTTAAGTTGGTACTTAGCCAGAAAAATTGAAACTAAGGCGACTATGAATAGCTTTAGTTGTGACTTAGAATAGTTTCGACTTAGTTGAGTTCTAAATATGAATATGAATATACGCCAATGTTTTTTTATTGCCTACTGACATTAGCAGGCTTTTTGGATACAATTTGATGATTTTGACAAATCTGAATTTCTAAAATGGCGAGAATTCGAGAGGAAATTTTAGTAGCGTAAATATAGGGTGATCCATATAGACTCTTTTTCTAAATATTAAATAAAACACTCAAAAAAGAACTGGTTGCCGGGATCTTTATTATTACCCGAAACTCGGTCTCGGCTAAATTCTCTTGATGGTAAAAAATTAGCCGGGCGAAGAGCCTTAGAAAATCACTTATTTTACGCTGATAAACCGCAGCAGTTCTTCAGCGATGGAATTATGTAGCTACCCGAAAATTGGCAATAAGTAGATACTTGATTAAAATTGATTTTGAACAGAGTTTTTTTTCAAAAATCCGTGGAGATGTTCCTATGATACAATATTTACTGTACTTTTTAAGTTAATATTAACGTTTTCTAAAAAGAGTAATGAAAAATCGTTTTTCTCGCATTTTTGATTTATTGAGTTATGCATTCATTCCAGCAAACGTTACTTCTAAAACAGGCTGTTAATTACGTATCAAAAGTTTGGATTTTTGCAACGCAATAAAATTGTCACACCCGCGTACATAAATACATATATATACTATATGTAGAAATGCCAGACCCCTTCAACGAGCCCAGTTTTGTACGACCTTTGACGTAGGTAGTACGTAATCTGATGGTAACGAAAACTTTTTACAGTTTTCAATTTCCTATTGGGTTGTTTACAAACTTTTCGACCGCGTAGACGAATAAAATTAAAATAATTTTTGTTTTTTACTTAACCGGCTGGAAAGCTCCTCAAATAAAAAGAAACAAAATATTTCAATTCAGAAAAAAATATTGTTAAAAACGAGCATCAATAATTCGAACTACAATGAAACCTCGATATAACGAAGCTGATAGGTTTCGACAAATGCTACGTTATATTAACCGTTTCGTTATATTTCATTAAAAGTAAAGAAGAATTTAATTACTTAATAAACCGAAAATGGTATGAAAATGTCACTTTATAGAGCGCTTTAAATCTATTTTATTTTTTATGAATAATATATATATTCAGACTTAGCTGTGCAGAGGCTTTTGAGTCGTCACTTCATTATATAATGGCCGTTTAACCGTCAATATGTTACGAAGAATTTTATGCTCAAAATTTCTTCGCCCTATCCCAGATGAAATATTTCGCGATAGCGTAGTTTTTTCAGGGGAATCAATTTAGGGGACAAACATTTACTTATTTTTGAGTTTTTCATGTTATGAAGGTTCGTTATATCGAGGTTTCACTCGACTGTTTTACATTTCAACTTATGCGTTGGCAATGCAGTGCTTTTGCCCACCGTAAAAAGTTCCGCTTTTACCACTTACAACATAGCAGCAGAAATCACTTCCGTTTTCTATTCACCCCAATTAGTTCCATCGATTCCCGTTAAAGCGAAATAAAACTCATTATTTATGTTTAAGTACATTTGTACTTAAAATAGTATAGTAATTTATTAAAATATAAATTACAATTCTTATTCAGTCGAAATGTCTTATGCTAATTTTTTCTTTAATTATTGCTTAAACATACTTATGTACTATTGATATTTCTACTTAGTAGTGAAAGAAAAGCAAAATTCTAAGCAAATTTTGACTAAAAATCTGAAACTCGTCCCTTCCGTTCCCAATCACCGTAGCGTGTGGGTTCTGGACCAGCTGGGCCGCCAATTTCACCAGTATGTGGATTTACGCTGTTCGGCCATGGCTTCCATGGTTCTTGTTGCTGTCGTGGATGACCAGTTATATTTTGCAGCGAAACTTTTGAGAGAAGGCGCCTTGAGAATTCCACAGCACGATTTTCCTGTTTGTAGGCGGCATTTGTTTGTTGGCAAGTGCAGGATGTGGAAAAGGCCGGTGCAGCTGTCTTCCAAGGATTGGGAAAGAAATTTATTTGCTTTCCCGCCGTTTGGCAGACACGACAACTTTGTTTCACTATGCTGCTCATTGTTTCACGATTTTCTACTTGTATGTATTTATGTAAAAACACAAATGTCCAATTTACAATAACTTTTCAATAGGTCTCTTTTTTGGTTAAAACGCTTCGCTTTTTTTCAAAAAGTTCTTCACTTTTCACTTTCAGTTATTTTAAATTTTCGATTTTTTTTGCTTTATTATTCTTAAGCTTATTGTGTACTTGCTGCTGGTTGTTGTATGAATGTTCCTCACCAGCGGCGTGCAAGCGCTTTTATACACAAACCCAAAAACCTTGAATGGAAACATTGATGCCATCGCATGGATGGAGCGAATGTTTGAGCGCGCAAAATTTTTTTACGAAGAGTATTTGCTTGGCGCTGAGCGCCAACAACTGTGCAGCCAGCGTTGCCATAAGTAGAATTTTTCTTCAAAATAAAGAGTTTTTGGGCAGTTTTTTATTAACAAATTTTCAAAAAAGGATTTTTTAAATGCAAAATTTTATACTGTAAATATCTTCAAAATTAAGATTTTTGTGTATGATGTAAGATTTCAAAATTTTTAACTTATTTATTTATTTTCCTTGCTACATCATTGTAAGTAGCAAATGAATGAAAAAGAAAAAGGTTTTTTATAATGAATACGTTAAACGTGGAAAATTTCAATTAAACTGCCATCTAAGATATATTTAGTGATGAGTCTACATGGATAAATTTATAACAAGAAGTAAAGGGGTGGTAAGCTTTATAAAACAGTATTCATAGAAAATCTAATTAAAAAGCTTAAAAATGTTATGAATCTTTGTCGAATTTTCTTAACTTTTGAAGTTTGGACATACATGGTTTTCGTGAGATAACATTAAATAAACACAAAAACTAAGCAATTTTTAAGCAAAAAACAACTGACCTCACTCCACATATACAAATTTAGAGGTACCGTTAATTTCTTCATGTACCAATGACCAGATTTAACCCAAGTTTTTTTTTCCAATGTATTTCCGTATTTTATGCATTGGTTTATTATTTGTAAACTCATATGTGATTTAGAAAGCAAACTGTGCTAAAAAATTTTTTTATGCCACAAAGGCAATATTGGGTTTTCATTTAAATTGAAATAAAAAAAGAATTTATTAGCCGGTTTCACCAGCAAATTAAGTTGAAAATGATTTTTAATTTTCTGTAAATTTCCATATAAAATTCAAAAAATTAAAATCATTTTTCATTTAAACTGCTTTCGTGAAATTGGCTGTACTCGTATAATTTGAAATTGCTAATTTTTTTCAGTTAACATAATAAAGGCTGTTTACTGTGTGTTTCTTATTGAGTTAAGACTTTTTTTTTTAGATTAAGACTTTTTTGGGATCGAAAAGATTTTTTATCTTTAAAATCATATTTTGAAGATTTTTTTGAACAAAATGAATATTTTTGGGGCACTTTCTCTGGCAACACTGTGTGCAGCACGTATTATTCGGAGCGCAACTGGTTTCACGTACGCTTCCAAATGAGTCACCGCCGGCGGCGCGGTGGTGTTTGATGGACTTTTCTCCCCATATACAAATGTGGGTATGTGCATACATCTTATGGAGTGTCGGCACAAATATTGTTATTGACACCAGCTGAGCCAAAACAATACTTTTCGGCCGGTATGAGTATAATATGTATCTTATTGAAAAGTGATCATCGGCGATGTTTACGTCCTTTAATGCACGTACGCCGCTTAGCGAAATCCACTATATAGTATATATTTTATTTATGTATATTCGCATTCGTGGGTTTATCTGTATATAAACAAACGCATACATACCTACAAATGTACATAAATATATGTATAGTATACTCCTCAATGTAATTAATTTAAGTATACGTTTAATTGCTTTTACTGTAATTCTCTTCCGCAGCAGTTCACTATTGACTGAGCTTGTTCAGCTAAAAAAAAAGAGCAGTTAATAAATAATTCAAAGAATAGGTATTGCGAAATTTACTAGTTTCAGATTACGAGCGGTGGGTATTGGGAGATAAGGAGCTAACTTTGAGGAGAAAGAAGGCTGGTTACAGCTGCAGGGGGGTTATAGGCACAATATGGGATATCTGTCCTAAGGATATTTCCTTCTGGTTATCGCTACCACTGCACTACATGCATATAACATGTGATCGATAAAGCAGTAGTTGTCTTTACCGGAGCTTCTACCACCGATTTGTTAACCGGACATTGAACAACCGGCCCTTAACCTTGTATGGGGTCGTGGTCAGCGTCGCCACAGAAGAGAAGTATCCGGGACTTATCCTGGAACTCAAGCTCCCGTGGAGGACTAATGTTGACGCGGCCTCCTTCAAAGCTACGAGAGCGTTGAGGGTGTGTAAATGTATAGCAGTAAAATTCTGGGAATTGGCGTATATGGCCTCAGCCTGATGCTTTCGCTACCTCCGAGAACCCTTCCAATCTTCTTCCAAACGGAAGTTTATCAACCGTCGCAGAACCTGGAGTGGCTACAGAGGGTCGTTCTCGTTGGAAATAGTAGCGCACTCAATTTCACTCCCACTCTGGCGCTTTACGTCATAGCGTCTGTCGACCTGTAGGTAAGGCTAAGGTGTGGCTTTATTCCTGGTGTTTTTTCAGGTAGCACTAGCTGCTTTAATGGAGGAGTCGATTGGCTACTCAACTGTACATCGTTGGCAAGGTTGGTAAACATCTACTGACTGTGATTGTAAAAGTCCAGTAGCAATTAGAGCTTTGGGCTTACGAAGAGTATCCCTGGCAGTGGTGTAGTTACGGTTCTCCCACTGCAGCCTGAATTACTTTGTTCGCTTCCCCAATTATTAATGCAAATTACCCCATTCCCCGGGGGTACTTTCTAAATTCGATTTGACAGTTCTCTGTGTTTTGTTTTTTTCCTTCGCTAAAAAATTGATGCAAAATGTAGGTTATTGCTAAACATTTGTCAGATTCCGTATTAAATGGGTGATGTTCACATATATAAAGTTTACTTTTCGTCCTTAGAAAAAAAAAACCCAGGAGGGAAATTCTGTAACTAGTTAGCGACAATTTTCGGATCGCTAACTGGTTACAGAATCTATCCCACCAGTTTTGATTTGCGAACTGATTTCGATAAATTTCCGATAAAAATTAGAGACGGGAGCGACTGTCTGTAATTCGCATGGTAATTGGATCTGAATCACGAACAAATGATATCCTAGAATTGAGAGAAGTACATAACTACATAATAGATAAAATATGGAGTAATCTATTTTTTTTTTGTAATTATCCTTCTAACTAAGAAGACACGCTAGATGACGGCAAATAATTCACTAAAGTGAAGCTTTAAGTGGACTTATTAAGCTCTGTATCAATGCTCTTAAAACGTATGCAATTCAATCTAAGCTCGAAAATGATATTGATGTTCGTACAATGAGAAACGTCAAACCAGAGAACGTTTATAAATAAATATAAATAAATAAATTTATAAACGTTTTCTGGTCAAACCATAAGAATGTAATACAAGTACATACATATGTATATGTATACATACTTAGAAGCATTATCAGCTGTTTAAAATATAATATGCATATCGTTTTGGTTAATCAAATTTCGGTTTACTTGCATAAGATGCTGGCTAATCGGTAATGGCTGTTAAAAAATGTTTTTCAACGGGGTCAAACATCAATGGGAAGAAGCCAGCCTTTGGACTGACGTTTGGATTGACGTCAGTAGTCATACATACATGCATACATGCATCGTTAGGGAAGCATAACATAATATAGTATATATACCCTGCAAACCAAAGGTCCAGAAATCTTAACGAAATCTTTAGGAGTATCTGATTTCTGTAACGATTTTTTTCCGAATCTTCAAAGAAAATTATATGAAGTGGTTGACACGAACTCGTAAAGAAATTTCTGTACAAAAAATAAAGAAAATTCTGAAAAAAGTCTGCAAGAAATTCTTCACATAGCAGCATTATTTTCATTTCTTTACCGATTTTCTTCCGAAATTTCGAAAAAGAATGGAAGTGTGCGTAATTTATTTCATTTTAGAAAATTCGGCAGAAAATCGGATGGGATCTTTCCGAATTCTTTAAAATTTCTTTACGATTCAGAATACTCTGATAAAATGGTTTGCAGGGTAAATACATAGTACATGCATACATACATATGTATGAACATACAAGTAAAATGTCTGTGTTCATGAATAATAAAGTCTGGAAGTTAAATTTACTATCTACTTAAATTACCTGACCTATGTACATGAAATTTTTTTAATGAGTTTTTGATAGGAATATTTGTTGAAGGTTGCTGTCATTAAATCTTTCACATCTACACTGAGAAAAGAGTTTAGTTACGTCAAATAAATATGTTTTTCTCTACACATGATTTCGTTATAGTTAGTTAGTAAGTCATGTGTTGAGAGAAATATATGTATTTGGCTGACTTTTTTCTGGGTGTACTTACATATTTATTTATCAATTGAAATTAAATGACTGCGAGAGCATACGCTGTTAATGGTGCATTTTACCTACTTCAATCAACCTTCCGATCTCAGCTATTGCTCCTTGCGAGCACAGAAAAATGTAAACAAAGCCACAATGTAGTTGAAATGCAAGAAATTCACTAAAACTGCTAGATTGGAGAGTTAGACTCCAAATTTCACAACGTTCAGTGAACACAAAGATTTCGGTGTGGACACTCCCGAAGATTTTGACCCCAAATAAGGCTGCAGGTGTAGTGGCGTTCTATAGTTCGAACAGTGGAAATGAACCATTTACCCTGCTATCGTTATCAATAAGAGCGCGTAGTTTATGACGTAGATAGACATATCAGTAGCTTCGCTATCACCATTCAATAAACACGCCTTATTCAACGGGTAAAGATATAAAATAATTGGTACCAAGTTTGGGGAGAGCGCTGCTAAACTTTGATTTTTTCTCAACATTTTCCAATAGTACCACTTTGATTAGATTTTTTCTTTTACTAAAATTATAATCTACGGTTTAAGATTATGGGCCTCAATGTCTGGTTAACACGAATTGCAGATTAAACATCGTTATCGACATGATCGATTTCATAACACATCACCTGTTTAACCTGTGGTTAGTATTAAGTAGACGTTGAGTAATCGGCTCTAAATCTACACCATGTTCCAGTCAAAAATCTACAACGCTAAGGTCAACTTTTGATTGAATAAAATTATCTTTGCCTGCCATTGCTCAATACGCTCTCCTGACGGCCAATTTTCGTTCTATGAAATAGTGAAGTGGAAATGAA